CCGCCGCTGCAGGCTCCAGACCGGAAGTGAATGCCCCGCGTCGGCAACCCCTTCCGGGGGCGCCGCGGCCAGCGGCCCCAAGATGTAGGCCCTAGCAACTCGATCAGCCGCAGGTGTAGGCCCTTGGCAACCACCCCAGCGGGGCGGGCGGCCACTGGGTAGGATCGCCCTAGAGGTCACAGGTCCCGAGGCGCCCCGCAAAGGAGCAGGGGGCCCCGCCGAACCCTGAGCCCAGCCTTACTCGCCGCCGCCGGCTGTGGGCTGACATGGGCGCCTCCCCTCCTCCTCCTTTGCTGCGACACAAGTTTCCTTCGCCGCCGCTCTGCCCCTCCCCCACCGAGACACGCCAAAAAGAAAAAGAAAAAAATCGCCTAAATCTCAAATTCTATCCCTGCCAAAGCTTGACGAGCCCGCGCGGCTTTTGAATTCGGCCACTTATTATTTTTGACCTTGGGCCAGGCATTTATCCTCTCTGTTCTCTGTTTCCTCTTCAGGTAAAAGATGCAGACCTGAGGCGGATGGTGAGGTGCAGATGAGATTTTTATCCACCGAATCTTGCAGACCCTTTGACTCAGTAATCACACTTGCACGAACTTCTGCTCAGGAAATAATCCTGGGGATCTACACATATTTCACCATCAAGATATTAAGTCGGGGCATTGATGATGGTGAAAAATTGTCAATGACCAAAACGTCCAACATTACGAGATGGCCTTAAAAAGTGAGCTACTGGCATGTATTAGGATACTGTGAAAGTGATGTGGAGGAAGAACACCGGCATGGGAGAAATGGTTACAATAGAATAAGTGAAGAGTAGCTACACAGTAGGAAACATGTAGACACACTAAAGTATATACATGTAGATACACTAAGATACATACATATATGTAGATACAATGAGATACGTACATGCAGATACAATAATACACACACATACCTACAGGTAGATACAGCAATATAGATACATGTAGGTACAATAAGATACATATATCCGTGTGTTCTTTCCATCCTCACAACGCTTTATCCTCTCTACTTAAAATTCATTTCCTCTTACCTTCTCAGAAACCTCATTCTATGGATTATGCCATTTCCCCCCCTAACCTAAGTCCTTCAACTGGCTTTAAAACGTGCTCGAATCTCTCCTGTTAAAAGCAAAATCTCTCTAGACTGTCGAGTTCCTGTCCTCTCTGAGAGAGATGTATAGTAAACAAGCAAATGAGCAAATGTACAGAAAATCATAAGGTATATGCACCAAAATGTTAACTGATAAAAGTTTTTATTTTTTTCTTTTAGAATATCTGTTTTGTTTTTATACAATAAGCATATAAAAAGCTTATAAAACATCACTTTTTTGAAGACAAAGATCAGGTTTACATACTGTAAAATGTAGGGGGCACTGACAAAATGCTAGTGACTTTTTTTCCTGCTATCATCCCTAAGGCTGATTCACCCATACACATATTTGTTTTTCTTTCATGATCCTTTCTACTTAAAATGTTAAAAATTATATTACAGTATTTCTTTAGGAGTTAAAAATTATAAACATATATGTACAGCACAATATGTTTCCATACCAGGTTTATAAATAATTTTTCCACAACAGCATAAGGCAATGAAAACAGTAATATTTATCAACATTTGCACAGCTGTTAAAATTAGCTGATATTTTTTATTAGACTTCCTTAGGTTTGAATAACTCAGTATTTCCCAATTGGTGCCCCTCACCCCAACCCCAGGGACATTTAGCAATATTTGGATTTTGGTTGTCACAATGGATGCTACTGTTATCTAGTGGGTAGAGACCAGGGATTCTGCTAAGCATCATACAATGCACAGGACAGTCCCCTACAACACAAGGATATCTGAACCAAAATACCAACAGTACCAAGGATGAGAAACGCTGGAACTATTTCTCAGCCCCAGAGAAGCTAAGAAGACGTGATTTCTTAAAGGTCTGTGCAGAGTGGTTTGACATGTCCCATATGATGCCTCCTGGGCTGCAATATAGACTGTACTATGTGAGGTCATGCTAGTTAGTCACTTTTTAATTACCGCTTGCTTAAATTTGTTACATAGAGGTGGGATAAAGAAGAGTGATAATATGAAACCAGCACTGATTCCTTATGGGGACCTACTAAGGGAAATTCTCCTTTTATTATCCTTTCTCTTCACTAAGTAATCAGTCTCTCTTTCTACTATTTCCCATCACTGTACAAACTCTAGTAACTTCTGTTTTAAAAAAAAAAAAAAAACTCTTTTGATGCCTCATTCCTCCCCAGTTCCATTTTGCAGCTCTTCTTCCCAGCAACGCTTATTGGAAAAGTGTTCTACACAAGCTGCTCCTACTTGCTCACCTTTTCCCAACCTACAACCCCACCCATTCCCCCAAACTGCTCTTATCGAGGTCACAAATGACCTTGACCTTGCCAAACTCAATGAAAACATTTCTGTCCTCATGTTGATTTACTTCTTAGCTGTATTTGCCCCAACTGATCACTCCTTTTCGAGGGAGTCTTTTTTCTTGGCCATCTTGACAGCATATTCTGCATTTCTTTTTACCTCTGTAGGCATTCCTTTTTTTTTTTTTTAAAAAGATGACCAGTAAGGGGATCTTAACCCTTGATTTGGTGTTGTCGGCACCACGCTCAGCCAGTGAGCGAACCGGCCATCCCTATATGGGATCCGAACCCAGGGCCTTGGTATTATCAGCACCACACTCTCCCAAGTGAGCCACCGGGCCGGCCCGGCATTCCTTTTTTGTATCCTTTGCGAACATCTGCTTTATACCAAATAAGTGTTGGAGATCCACCCCCAAGGTTCTGTTCCAGACTTTTCCCTCTCTCTCCACTTTCTCTTTGGCTTAGGTAATCTCATCTATTCTCTTGTATTTTAGTACTATCTAAATGCAGATGACTTGCAAATTCATATCTTTAGCCCATATCTTACCTGTGTACCCCAGAATGCCAGAATGACAATTCACCCCCACAAAAAATATTTATTGAGCACCGACTTTGGGCCAGGTACTGTGCTTGGGCCTGGTTCTCTGGCACTTGTGAGGATCTATTTTGGTGGATTAAATACAGCAAGGCAGACAGATTTTTTTTTTTTTTAAAAGCAAACTATAAAGTATATAATTACAACCACAGCACGTGCACAGAAAGAAATGTTGCTCTAAGAAAGTGTAACAGAAAGGAGCATAACATAGATTGTGTGAGCAAAGAAGGTTTCTTTGAAAATGTAAACCTTCACTTGAGAACTCAAGGATGAGGGACACTTAAGCCAGGAACTGGACACAATAGAGGAAGGGTCTCAGGATGGAGATTTAAATTTGTGGGTCATCCTTGTGGACGAAAACAGGTTTCATATTGTGTCTGGCTTTAAATCCACTGGAGCCACCGTTTTCATTTTCCTTGCATAATCCATTAAGAACAAAATCAGAAACAAGCTCCTACATAAAGAAACAGAGGCTATACAAATTTAAATTTAAGTAAGACCTTTCCGCCACTTGTCTTTGTTCCTTGGGTTCCTGAGGTTACCAGAACATAAATGTTCTCCAACCTCCTTTCCTTATCTTACTGAGAAAGGGAAGTGACTAGTCTAATACTTCAGAAATAATGTACTTGAAAGAAAAGGATTTTTTCTCCCAAGGCTTTACCAAATACCATCGTAAGATATGTATGTGTATTTTTTAGGCAAGCTTCACCATAATATTTTTAAATTTACAAATCTTTCCACAATAATGTATAAATGGAAATTGAAGATATGGATGTGGATAAGATTTCCTGAAAAGAGTGTATTTCTTTTATTTAACTAAAATTTATTTGGTACTTAACATGGGCCACTCAGGCACTGTTCTAAGTGCTTTACAAATGTTAACTAATCACTAATTGGTGTCCTCACACAGCCCTATGAGGTAGGAATATAGTTCCCAGTTTGCAGATGAGGGTAATTAACTTGCCCAAAGTCACATAAATAATAAGTGGTAAAAAAAACAAGTGATTTGGCTTCTGAACCCACATCACTAACAGTACATTGTAGATCTCTGTTTCTCAGTCATATCTCTGCACCCCCTTTTGATAACAAATATTTCATAACACCGCCCCTACTATCCCAAAATGGTAATCACAGATAATATAATCTATTATAAGACATAATTTCAAAATACATGTATAATGACTTATGTCTCATATAAAGGAGAAATAAAAGAAAAGTAACTATAATAAGATAAAATGTCTTTTACTACATAAATGCTTGGGATTGTCCACACTGGAAGAGTCAGTGAAGTTGGCAGGTGTCAGCACCTATAGGCAGTTTCACTACTGCACATGCTGTATCTCAGACTGATGTCAAAATTTAGCCTCCTCATTCTTTCTCCCAACTAACCACCACCACCACATACAGAATTGTCTCTTTCCCAGTTTTCTCCAGGTCAGTAATAACACTAGCAGTCACTAAACCCCAGCCAGAAACCTAAGAGTCAGCTCAGACTTTTCCCTTCCCATCATCCAGTGCAGCAGCTATTTTGTCTCTAACCTGCTTTCTTAGTCTTTCCTTCCTGTTTCTCCACTGCCACCCCCCCAATACACCCTGAAAGCTCCACAGATGCTCCTTTTTCCTTTTTAAAATTTTGTTATTGTGGTATAGTTTACGTATAATAAAATCCACACATTTAAAGTGAAAAATTTGATGCATTTTGACCAAAACACCCACTTAACCACTACCACAGTAAATATAAAGAACACTTCCATTACCCCAGGAAATTCCCCTGTGCCTCTTCTCAGACATCACCTGCCCCTCCCATCCCCCTGCAACACACACACACACACCACCACACACACTCTCTCTCTCTCTCTCTCTCTCTCTTTCATTCCTGGGGTCCAACATCATTCTTTTGCATGTAGGTATCTAGCTTTCCCAGCACCATTTGTTGAAAGATTGTCCTTTTACCATTGAATGGTCTTGGGACTCTTCAAAGGAATAAAATAGAGTCATAAAAATTACTCAATTAGGGCTGGCCTGGTGGCGCACTCAGTAGAGTGCGGCGCTTGGGAGTGCGGCGGCACTCCTGCCGAGGGTTCGGATCCCATATAGAGACCAGTCCGCTCACTGGTTGAGCGTGGTGCGGGCGTGACACTGAGGGTTGCGATCCTTTTACCGGTCACGAAAAAAGACAAAAAGGAAAAAAAAAATTACTCAATCAAAAATATGCAGGGGAAAAAAGGAAAATGGAAACAAAGAACAAATGGGACAAATAGAAAACAAATAGTCAAAATGTAACTTTAAAATCAACCAAGAGCTGGCCAGTTGGCTCAGATGGTTAGAGCACAGCCTTGTAATACCAAGGTAAAGGGTTTGGTTCTCTGTACTGGCCAGTCACCAAAAAATAATAATAACAATAAATAAAATAAAATCAACCAAGTCACATCAAATTTGAGTTCCATGTAATGGAATACTATTCATCAATATAAAGGAATGAACTACTTAAATACACAGCATGGATGGATTTCAAAATAATTATGCTGA